GTGCTTTACAAACCAAAATTTTCACTGCCTGTAATAATTTTGGAATTATGAACCAAACGACGGTTTTTAGAAGCATTTCACGTCGTTTGGTTTATTACAATTAGAATCGATCATAAATTTTCGCTTATCTAATCGAAGCAAATTTTTGAATTATTCCACAGGTTATAAATCTAAACCCAAGTGACAAGTCTACATACCTACCGATTTATTCAAACATTTTATTATGTACTAGTCGAAAAAAGCTTTCACTAAACCTCAATTTAAGTAACTAAAACATAACCCACAAATTCCCCGAACCTCGCTCTAAACCCGTTAATTACATTCGGAAATCGAGGAATAATTTAATCAGCGAAAATACACTCCGATACGGAAACGGAAAAGTGTATATACACGGCGAAGAGGAGAGCGCCTTTCGCCCCGAGATTAAAGATAGGTTTCACCCCACGAGAGCGACGAGGTTTTAAAAGGATGACGAGGGGTGCGTTTAAAAGCTCGCTCGTTCGACGAGGCGAGGGGGATGATTTTACAAGACCGCAACGATCCGCTATCTACGCGAATTTCTTTAATGCGATTTCGGCCCTTCTCACTCTTAAATATTTAAAGACGGGGCTCTAATACGTCGTTGTGTAAGTGTTTGAGTTTCGTTCGTCGATGCGATAACTATAAACGTTGTAGGATAATGAGGATCCTACGGGGAGGAGGGCAATTGAAATGGTATTGTTGGTGTATGCGATGAGTATGAGTGACTGTATGATTTGTAAATTCGGATTCGGAGAAATTATTGGATGCCCCAGCAACAATGTTGCGCTCGAGATAATGATATCGTACTAGTACTTTTTTCGGGGGATTGTTTACAATTATCTCGACAGATGTTCGATTCGTGAAATTGTTTGTTATTTAGCTCATGTTGCAATGGGTTAAGTACAAGCTATAATCGATTTTTGTAAACATCGAGAATTATAAAAAGGATGTAATCAAATAAAATAACAATTTTAAAACGGTTAATTTTAGATATTGTAGTCAAAATATAATCATTGCAATGAACAAATTTTTATACAGGTTGTCCCAATGAGCGGACTCACCAAGTACATTGATCAAGCTTTCGAATAAGGAGCTTAAAAAATAAGTTCCGCTAAATCAATACCTCGTTCAAACAAAGCAGAAACTCCGCTTTTTTGTTCGTCACGAAGAAACCCACACAAAAAAAAACTAAAATGATTATGGCGCATTATTCTTATTAGAGTAATCAGTCGGGTAAACACAAGATTCAAAAATAACGACCGGCTTGTCCGTAAAAACCGCGCTTATCCCCGGTCGCATGCTACGAAAAACCTACAACCGATATCAACGTTTAAAACCCGGAATTAGCCCGCCCCCGTAAGGGCTACATTCCCGCGCCCGTCGCGACGCTCTCGGACGCTCCGCGTCGCTCGAAACGCGCGCGATACTCGCCCCTAAGGGCCGGTGCGCGCTCGGCGACTTTCGCATTTTCGCTTCGGTAATTCTATAGTGTTAATACAACTACGAAATGGCCACTAATGCTCCGAAGGTGTCTGGGTTATTTCGGTTTGTCACGCAATTCGGGGGTACACGGGACCCCCCCGAGCCAGACCAGGCTTCAGATCAATTTCATCGGTTTCAAAAACACCTAAAAATTTCTATAAGACACTCGGAAAATAGACGAAAGTATGGAGAAAGTAAAGATAGCTCCCACCCGTGCGAAACGAAAGTTTTAGAGATGCAGGAAGCGAGTAAAGTAGCGAGAAAATTGGACAATATTCTTCGGGTTGAATAAAGGTAGGGGGGTAGACTGTGGGCCCGGTCCTGTCGTAAGGGAGCGCTTCCGCCGGGCTCCCGAGTTTATGTATTATTTACCCTTAGCAGCCATCATAGCAGTGGCGCTATCGATGGAAAAATAGTGGCGGTTTTGTCGCCGAATCACGGAATTTTTCTAGCCATCAAGATGATTGAGGGGGGTCGAACGGGGGGATATTTCGAACGCGAACTGTTCTGCATGGCCCCGGTGTAGACCGGATTCGTAGCGGGGAAATTCCCGCACGCACTCCGGAGAGGATGGGGCATTTTTCGTTCGAAAAAAAACCGCGTTTGTTTGTGCTGGATGGAAGATCGATTGCGACCGGGGTTGTTTTGATAGAAACGACAAAAAACCGAATTAATTGTATAAATAAGAAAACGCTTGTATTAATCAAATACGATAAAAATGTGGAATATGAAAAACACCGATTCCCATAACGCGAGATATGCACTCCAGGCCCGTTTCGTAAAACCAGAAAAAAAAATAATAAAATAAAAAAAACGATATAGTAGCAATAAAACCGAGCTCGCCGGACTGTTGTAAGCACCTCGGGGGGTAAGAGGCCCCTTTGTAAACACGGCCGCTTTTGGCCTTAAAACATTAAAAGTTGACTCTTTTAAATAATTTACGGCTTACGTTCGTTACACGTCGTCACCGAAATTCATTAAAAGCCCTCTTCAAGATCCTCTCTTTCTCCGGCCTTACCTGTGAACGCGCCGAACTCTCCCAAACGCCCGAAACGTCGAATGAAATTTAATACCCGATTCCGACCGATAAACCATTCGTTGTTCCAAATAAATCAGTAGAACACGTCGAAATTATCGTTACGCTATTTTAACGTACTCTACGTTATTTTAACGTACGTTACGCTATTTTAACGTACGCTACGTTATTTTAACGTAAGTTGCGTTATTTTACCGATTCTTTGGGACGAATTCGGAAACGAAGTTTACATGCGGCATAAAAATTCGAAGAACAAAAGGAGGTATCCAAACGTAATTTGGAATTCTCGCCGAGCGCGTCGCGGCGTATATATCTTTTTTTTTTTTGTTTTGTTTTTCGTGTAGGATCCGCGTTAAATGCATAATATATGGCGTGGAGCATGTCTTATTCAAAGGGCTCGCCACGCCTAAGGGCGGACCCGCGGCGGACTTAGGGGAGATACGTCAACGTATTTATACTCCATACGTGCCGGGGCGAAGTCTTAGAAAATACACGAGGAGAGTGAATTTCCATGCCGAAGTGCATGGAAACCGGTAAATATTTTACCGCTGGATATTTCATACGCCTCCCTTCCATATTCTAACGCTTACGTTATTCTACGTATACGTATACGTTATTCGATTAACGACACGAAATATCTTCGTATAGAATATACTTCGTTCATAACTATTTTAGAACTGATGGTTAGGACCCTTTGAAACAGTATACAAGGCGATCTTAGAATCATTTAGAACTCGCCAAAAAATAATATATAACAATTTCAGGACTATCTGGACTTGTTAAGGATAAACTATAAAGATCCAGAACTATTTAGAACTGTCCGGAGTCATTTAGAACCATTTTAGAAACGACTAGGATCATTTGAAACATTTCAAGGCGATCTTAGAACCATTTAGAACTCTCCAAAATAATTTGAACAAGTTTCGGGTCGATTCGAAACGTTCAAGAATTAACTAGAAACATCTAGGACTATTTAGAATGTTCTTCGAACTGTTTAGAACTTTGTTGCGGAATTTATAGAATGTTTTTTCAACTAAATTTAAGTAATTTTGAATCGAATAAAATTATATTGACGAATCGAAATATCTCCATTAAATCCCCGGTGCTCTTATTTTCGACGAATATAATCTGTCCGAGTAACAATCGGACATCCAGCGAGAGCGTGTCAACGGCGACCTACGTTTGAGAGACGAAAAAACGCATTAATTCCCGCCTTATCGGCCGCTTATCGAGTGTTAAAAGGACATTATTGTTCGTTTTATATGAAGCCACCCAAAATGCTGGCAGAACGGTAGCTGAAAAGTCGATATCCGAACGCCATTTAGATTAGGAGAACATCGCTTTCCACTTTCGTCTCCGAGCTGCCACCGTTTCGGTTTTTCTATCTAATTTCGTCCTAGACCGGCTCTCTTATATATATATTTTTTTTCTCCGAATACTTAATAATACCGAGAATTAATTAATTATTGCGTTGATTATTAAATTTGTTCGTACACACCCTGTATATAAAGTGAAAAATATTCCGAGGAATTTAACGATGGCGGAGGAATTGCCCAATTTTGGCCACGTTATGACACTGGCAGGTCGAAGAAATGCGCCTAATTTAAAATTTTAGTGACGAAAAGGCCTTTTTATCGCCTCCACCGGTGGTCTTGTGGTAATTAAACCATACATTAAGCCTCTAAAACCAAAATACCTCACTAATTGCGCCGGCTTTATCGATTTTCGAAAAAGATAACATTTTATTTCACAGAGAGATCTCGTAAAATGTGTGAAGCCGGGCGCAGTAATCTTATTATTATTACCGGTCGCCGGATGATATTTTTTTTACTGCGCCGCTCCGGCCGGTGCGCGGTTAAGTAAATTGAAATTATAATTTTTTAGTACCGCTGATTGAAGACGGTAGGGCGAGCATAAAATCAGGTGATAAGTCTTTTTATTGCCATCGTCACTCGCTATTTATGATCTCAAAGAGAAATATCCTTCGCGTATCGAGAGTCATCAAACTCGAAGGTTTCCTTCTATTTAACGATTTTACCGGATGATAAAACTTTAATTTACTCTCCACTTTTTTGCGCGAGATTGTAAAAAAAACGATTACTTTTTAGATCATTCGCGATTTAATGGTTTTCTAGTTAAGGTCTTGTTGTAAAATATGTTTGCATATGTGAGATTTTAATAAGGTTTGTGGGTTTAGAATATCAATTTAAAAAAAAATACTTACAGAAAAATCGTTGCAATGTAATGAGAAAATCTATACAAAGAGAGAAAATATGAAAATGTTTAATTAAAATCAACGTACCAGATGAGGAAACAGATTTGATGAAATTGTGAAGAAGAATAATAAAATGTAATAATTTCAGCCTCACGATATAGTTTAGAAGATTATAAATTATTATTCACAATATAAAAATTCCATTCAAAGTTAGTGTAGGTAATAAAAAAATGAATAAAAACTTACGAATCCATGTTTGTCGGAGATGTTGTTGGTTAATTTTAACTTGTGGAATGAGACGACTTTTTGCATCCATTGCTCACCCGTCGAAGGACTATCTGGATGGATGTACATCCTTTTTGGCATTTCAGGATCCGCCTTTCCTGCCACCATCCACCGACTGAAACCATCCAAACATTTTACTCACAAAATATTTACAACATTTAAAAAAATACATCGATTAACTACTTCGCCTAATAAGATACCGAAGGAAATAAAGTGAAAATATGAACAATGAGTTCGATAAAAATCATGAATAATTCGAATATTGATCAGATCATTAAAGTAATTCCTCTCTACTAGCCTTCTATCTCATCAATTATTTGTACATAATTAAACATCTATATATTCTATACAACAATAAAATTTTTAGAAAATACCTAATCGTTTCGTTTAATAATTTATTCATTTAAGTGAAAATATCTAAAGCAATATTTTATACAAAAACTCTAATAGCAAATATGTTTTCAAAGAATATTTCCATCGAAAGTGGCCATCCTTACATGCAAAACATTAATTCTAATAGCTACTAATCTACCAGGTATATATGGTATTGAACGTTTCCAATTGAAGAAATAACAATATTAATCTCTTCGGAAGTGAATTCCCGGGCAATAATTGGCCAGAGACGAATTCTTTCGACATCATGTGGAAAATTTTCACCGCATACTCATAAGAGAAATATAAGAGAAAACTGGATGAGTTATTACACGTAATTATGGGAAATTTAGATCGTTCAAGTTGTTATTTCTTCAAGGTTCTACGATATCAAACGCATGCTTCGTGCTTTTTTTTATCACACAGCAAGGGTGGTTTTTTTGTTTAAGTTGGAAAAATCACCCCGAAATGCAATAATTTCGTCGCAGTCCACAAATCGGTAAAAAAATACAACCATATCGAGTGCGTAAAATGTTATGTAATTTAATTTCATTGGGATATATTATACAGAGGATATTTGAATAGATTGACGATAAAGTTGGAGTGGTTGAGACGAAAGAAATTGTTTAAAATCTAATTATTTTATCGGGGATAAATTAGAAAATAGGACAGACGCGATGAAGTATAATAAGTAAGACCAAATCCCATATAATCGTGAAACAAATATTACCAGCTTGTTTAGAGTTGAGTTGACATGTTTGTAGACCAATCTAGAACATCAACCAACGAAAAAACTACGACTATTTGTACAAATTATTACACCAAAAATAACACTTGGAGACTTCAGATACATCAAAATGATCGGATCGAGTTATGGTTGTATTTTCGTTTACGGATTGGGTGAATTACGATTATCATTTCAACAAAAATACGGTTCAGGATATTTATGATTATTGTCTAACCTGTTATGGAATTTATATCTACAATCATCATCAGCGACGATGTCCATAAGAAGGATATATTTGGACTTTTTGTCTAATCCCGATACGCGGACTTTGTAAGCAGGAAACATGCGCCTGAAACAATGTCGAGATGTCAAAAAACTGACGTTAATTTGAATAATCACCTGTTGTGGAATTTGTATCGATAATCGTCGGCAGCCACAATGTCCAACAGGAGGATATATTTCGCTTTCAGGTCTAAGCCTGACACTCGAAACTTCATTTGGGGAAACATTTGCCTAGAAAAACCAAAAAAAAACGAATAGAAATAATCGCTCGCCTTTCAATTTACTCGATAACCATTCAATCAAAGCATGAAATTCGCCGTTTTCATCCCTTCGGAAACCAATCAGTACTACCTGGTTGGGCCTTTTTTTTCACATAATTTACGATTTTCGTTCCTGCCTCTTTGTGACCCTCTTATGTTATGCTAATGTTTTAGAGTTTTAATTAAAAAAAAACACATGTAGGTAGATATACGGGATAGCTAACAAAACAAATAAAAAAAAACAGATGGTTAGATAGTTTTAAATGATTTCGATACAATAATTTTATTACATGATTAAAGCGTACAGGTTTTACGTTTAAATTATTTTAAACGACTGTTTTTTAATTCCATTAAAATACGACTGACAGCTAATAGTATGTAGAGTATATTTATCATCAATTTGTGTTACAAATAATAATCATTATACGTATGATGTTAGAGTTTAATAGCAAGATTTTATACAATTTAAATTTGAATTCATTTGTTGATTCACATAGAGGTGTAATAGTCTTATAACAGTGAAGTATAATGATGTAAATGGACCATTTATTCATCGCCTAATGAGAATATGATTTGTTTTAGCATTAAAGCGCGAATCGCTAACAAGAATCTCCTTCGTTTTACGCAAAACCACCGTTAAATTTTACGGTAGAGTTCATCACATCCCAACGACGCCATTAAATCTATCTGTAACCCCTTACACTTCCGTTATACAATTCAATTTAATTTAATTATTCGAGGTTCTCCACACAAAATGGTACCCTCTGGTCGTTATATAATCACCAAGTATGACCCCGTAAGTTGAGCGCTCTTCAGATTTATGTCACGATTCCGTACGGAACCCCATACGGATTTTCACTTTGGGCTATTCGAGATCGAATTTTTCTGATATAAAAACCCATCTTAAAATCCTTCTATCGTTAAAACTAATGTTAAAATACTTCCATTTACATAATTATGATTTAGCGCTCGAATTATAGTGCTTATTAAAACGAATATTGTAATTATGAAAAAGCATATTTTTTTTTTAAATCGATAATCCTGTTAGTATTATTTCACGCATCTGAATCACAAAGTACATAAGGCCCGAATTTCCTGGATGCCCGCTACACAAATATAGATATCTCCGTAATGGCGATACGTTTTGCTCCCCCTTCAATTTTCGACAGCTGTCTTATAATCCATCATAGGCCCTTTTTATAGGGTGCAAATAAAAACGGGAATTGAATGTAAGTTTTACGTTTTATCGTTTAGGTATATAACGAAGGAGGGGACGAATTCTTCTCCGATGGCAGATGGTTTCGTACCACTCGGTATGTTATATTCATTTTTTAAATTCGCCGCTTAATTAAAGATATGTCCGAAGAAAGAGATAATTCATTGAATTTTAAAATTTGTGCTAGAAAACATTTATAATCCGGTAAAGTACATTAGGAGCAATTGCCCCGATAGTTTGTTACAACAGGGCTAATCCTTTTTGGAGACGTCGCAATGGAATTTAGGCGCCAGTACTGTAATTGACTCGGGTCCCGGTGCCCATCGGCCTCTTTTATATCCCACAGACATCCACAAGATACCATCTTACAGGGATCCCCGTAGACGAAACAACGCTCTACCGTCGGATATCCTAAGGTAAACATTCCGAAGACAACGGACCGTTCAGGTGTTATGTTAATATAAGGTTAATTTTCTCGAGACCGTCAACCCCCCGCTGCGACCCGACTAACGGGCGCCACTGTAAATTTCGCACAGGGACGGACTCGGTTTCTCGTCCTAAATTTTACTGATTTACATATAAACAGTGTTTGGATTAAAACAAACATTTCTGCTTTATAAACGTATAATTATTCATTTACATTATTAGCGTTGTTATTTCTTGTTTTAGTTTCGCATTTAATATAAAATCGCCCGCGTACCGCGTTTTTAACGAAACGTTAATTAATCAACATCTATTCGCGCTTTTTGATTAATTCTCTTAATCAGTAACATCGCTTTTATCAACTTTTCCATTTATTTAGCTGCGTACGGTAATTTCGATATGTAAATTAACTATGACTTAATCTGCACATTCGTGCGTGTTGATTGATTACGAAAATATTCAAATCGGTCCGACGGCGTGTTAAAATAAATAACCAAATTCCGGTTAATTTTCGGACTCTACCTTTTTTATAGTCCGGGCGGTCTTCCCCGGAAAATCATCTAATTCTTATACGTTTACACTACAGAATTTCACCCACAATACTTCACCAATCAAACCTTTAAGTACCTACTTACAGACCGATTGGGATAGCTATACACGTGGTATGCGCAAAATACATTGCGCTGTAAGCGAACATAAATATTTAGCCTATAACCACCTCGACTAGAGATGTTTGTTTCGATCAATTTTTTTTTGTATTCAAAACTCCCTGGGTGTTAAATACCGAACCCTCAATTATTGTCGATATTTTTTTGTAGACGATCGTGATCTCGGGGTCCGCGTAGCTGATGCATATGAAATTACTGTATTTACAGAATGACTCCTTAATGATATGTTAGCTTAGGTAGGTGAGAAAAACGATGCTTTCCAATTACCGGTACACTCCGGTCGCCGAGTATAGGCCCGGCAAAAAAACTCCAGAGCCTCGTTGTACTATTAAGAAACATTCGGTTTCACCAATCTCGAGACCAGACGGGTACTCATTGCGTTCAATTATTAAATTCGAGTCAATATGACCGCCGTCTGGGTTAAATTGCTTCCTCTTGAGACGATGCCACTTCGGGTTCAATGGCTAATGCTCGGAAAATTCGGGAAAATAAAAAAACCATAGAACAAAAACCGCCCGGCCCCGACCCACGAAAAATTTACAACGGCCTCTTCCCGTGCGCATAATTGACCGAACGACCTATCATAACCTAAAAGTGATAAAAAGCCAAGTAGAGGAAACGTCGTAAATCAAACATCAAACGGTGAGCCAGTCGAAACGGGCAATATAAATACAGGTATAAGAGGAGCATATTGCCGTTTGTGTTTGTTTAACAGGACAGGCTTTTGAGTACCGTGCAAAATACAATGCCTAAAGACGTTCGGTCGTTAATCATTCCGCTCCAGTACCACCTTTTTATCCTTCCTACTGTATGTTATTAATACAGGAAAATCGTGCAACTAAAATCTAATTATTATCTAATACACCTAAGGGTATTAAATCTTCAAGTTTCCTAATAAATCAAATCACATCCGAACCTACATCAGAGATTTTTTTGTTAATTAAGTATATCGAAACTCGAAAGGGCAAGTCAATATATCCAACAACTAATTATCTCGAGAATAAGGAAACCTTACGGAGGGAATATCGGGCGCAGACGACTTGACCAAGAAAAGGGCACTTCGGGCGCCCTTCCCTACATCAAATGCACGTCTATATATCGGGCAAAAGACCCATCTCGCCAACGTACAAAGCCCGTATCCGGTAATCCTCCAGATAGCAACCGGGCGTATCTTTGATGGTCCTCCAGAAACGGATCGGGATACGCGCCCGGCGTGTAGACACATCTACACGGCAGGTTCTCGAGATCAGAGGATGCGTTGACGCGTTCGACCGTATACGCCTTGAAATAGAGAGATGATTACCTCTTTCCGTCGCCTTCTGCGCTCAATTCGGCGAAGTAAATTTCCCAAAGGTGCAAACGTAGCGAACGCCGCAGCGCTAAAGGGACGCAATTTTCGGGGCGGAAAAGTCTTGAGAGCACAGGACCGTATCCTCGGCGATTTGCACATCTCGAAATACCTACGACGGTTTGTTAGGACCAACAGTTGGTAGTATTTTCCGAGGAATCCGTCTCATAAACGCCCGAATCAAATATTTCAATATGTGTATTTTTTTTCTTCTTTCGTTGCGCGTTGTTCCCTCGATTTCGACCCTCTCTCCATCGCGGAATGTAAGAATATCTCGGAATTAAATTTAAAAATGCCCGGAATACTTGGCGGGCGTCGTATACTCGACGGGGCGAGTCTCTCCGAGGGTCGGTGGAGTGTTCTTTGCGATTTTATCGGCGAAGAGAATGCGCATATATTTCAATATTAACGGGATTTCTTCTGCTCATCATCTCGACGACGCCATTACGGCGTAAGGCGAGAGAGAGGGGCTGTCTTATAATACATACAATTTTTATATATTCGCTTTTTACGCCCTGTATACAAGGTGTTCCATAATGAAGAAAATGCACCTTGGTCCACCTTGGATACAACCCTGTATCTCAAAAGTTAAGACCTTTAGGAGATAGGTTCATATGAAGTTTTTTTCCTAAAATAGACCCAAAAATCACCCCCTTAAATATTAGTCATTTTGGAACACCCTGTATATTATATTTGCGTGAAATTCCTGAATCGTAGATATAAAACAAGCTCGTTGACGTGTTCATTTCGCCACCCATCATCGGCCATTATTTATTTATTTTTTTCTAGATAATTTTTCGATGTCTACCGAAACCTCTAATTTGTTTCTGTGAAAACCGCAACCCATTCATTCGCTGGTACTTCGGGAAGAAAGAAGTCGCGTTCAGGTAGGTCCTTCTTCGGCGAGGGACAAGGTTAATTGGTAATTTGTTTTTTTTTTCTAATAAATTATTACCTCGGATTCGAATGAGCTATCGTCGGATTCGTGATCGGGAAAATTTCAATCAAATTTTTTGTTTGATGAAAAACGTTACTTATTAACAGTTCGTTCCATCTCTAATACCTGCAAATGACATTTCGTAGATGGACAATTCGCGTTGTACTAGAGATGGGCGTTGCATATGCTTCAGCATCATGACAAAAATAACTTTTAAACGATAACGTTAAAAAAATCGCGAACCATTGAGGACGCGTTTCATTGAGAAATACAAAGCAATCGATTCCCTCAATCGAAAAATAAAAAAAACCAACATTAACAACGGCCGTCCAGTCGAAGTGGGCGTGCGCTCGAAAAATACGAAAACGATAAATCATCG